AAAAAATTCGATCATGGATAACAAGTAAAAAAACAAACATTTCGATCATGGATTACAAAAAAGTCGATCATGGATTACAGAAAATTCTATCATGGATTACAAAAAATTCGATCATGGATTACATAAAATTCGATCATGGATTAACAAAAAAAAAAAACATAAAAAACAAAAATTCGATCGTGGATTACAAAAAAGAAAAAACAATTACATCATGGATAACAAAAAATTCAATCATGGATTACAAAAACTCTATCATGGGTTACATAAAAAACAAAAAACAAAAAATTCGATCATGGATTACAAAACATTCGATCATGGATTACAAAAAATTCTATCATGGGTTACAAAAATAAAAAATAAAAAATAAAATTCGATCATGGATTACAAGAATAAAAAACAAACATTTCGATCATGGATTACAAAAAATTCGATCATGGATTACAAAAAATTCTATCATCGGCTACAAAAAAAAAAATCTGTTCTTCACATAGTCGTTTTACATAAGCGATTTTAACTCAAAAATTCACCTCTAAGTGAATAAATTACATCCAATTGAGTATATTTTCTGATAAACAACAATATAAGGAATCAAAACCCTAAATTTTTAACACATTATTTCTAATATATAATGAAAACAAAATCAAAAGGCGGAAAAAAAAAAAAAAACAAGCGGAATTTGGTTCCGCAGACATCTCAGTGTTCATATCAAATTTCTTGCTGTAATTGACCAGATTAAGTAAAATTGAAAATTTTAAATCATACTAGACACAATAAAGATTAAAAACCTAATTATTGAACTCATTATGTTCAAAATATGCCGTGAAATAAATCAAATGGCGGAAAAAAAAAAAAACCAGCTGTCGGCGAGAGCAATCAGGGCTGATTTTGTGAACCGAAGCCTTCAATCTCCAAAAAACTCTGTTTTTCTCAACGATTATCACAAATTAGTAACAAAAGGTTTTGATTCACAGCTTTAAGATCAAAATGCCTACAAATTTTGAAAGATTCATGCCCTATTTGGCATGAAATTTCAGAAAAGGCGGAAACCCTAAACACCGAATTTTTTGTGATAAAAAAACAACAAATTTTTCTACCATTTAATCCTTGAAAAAGCTGAATAAAGCTGTTTACAGCTTGCAAATCAGATCACATGCCAAAAAAAACAAGAAAAATGATCAAAGAATGACAAATTTCAAAGAATCCATGAAGAACATTGTGCAACCCGTGTTCTTCACGGACTCGCCGATTCCGCACAGTGAATCGGCGAGTCACTGTGCGGAATCGTCCGGTTCTCTCTAGAACCGGACGATTTCCGATTTTTTCACCGATCCGGTCCCTTTTTCACGATTTTCGAGTCGAACCGGGCGAGTCCGATTCGACTCGGCGTTTTTTAAAACGCTGGGTAGGATTATAAAGGGTTATCATTAAAATTGATACAGATTTTTAAAAAAATTATAATATAAGTGTAGAATTTAACTTTTTTTATAGATTCGTACCAAATTTAATGGTGATTTTTTGGGATCCTACTCACATAAGTTGAAAAAAATTCTATAAAATCATTTTTCTTTTTACAAACTCCATCCACATCTTATTTATTTATTTATTTGTTATTATTTAAATTAGAACCATGATCATCCAATAAACTCTTTAAGTGATATGATGCTTCAAAGCTATATTTGACTTACAACTTGCTATGACCATCATGGTTTTCAATAGACCATGGTGTCTTCACTGTTTTAAGACTATTATGAAGACAATTTTTATCTACTCACCCAAAAATGAGTATGGATGAGGTTTTGAAACGTTTTGAGTATTGATGAGGTTTTGAAAAGTTTTGCCAATTGTTAAAAAATCAAAATACATTTTTAAAAAATTTTATATTTTTTAAATCTATTTGATATTATATTTACAGGTGTTTAATTTTCTATTTTAAATTTTTATCATTTGAGTATCTTTGTTTTGGAAATGCTGAATACTTTATAGAATTTTTTTTTATAATGGAAAAATTTTCGAAAAATTATTTCATGCGTTGGAGATACATTTCGACATTTGCATCCCCTGAGGTTTAAAGCATTAACCTTAAAGATAGATGCAAATGGGTTTACTTCATCTAAAGTAAATTGAAACTAACGGTCCAAATATTTCCTTCATAATATTATTACTTTTACTTTTTAAAGTTTTATTTATTTTTCACATTTATGATCTTTATACTATAGAAATAATGTGCACCAAAAAAATTAGTAGAAAATAACGTATGAAGTTAGAAAACCTTCAAATTGATAATTTCCACCTCAACATGTATGATATAAAAGAAAAAAAGAATTTGAAGTCTAAAAATAATTTAGCTTGTAACCATCTATTTTCAATATTTTAAAGTGTATATAGATATGCTCAATATGCACCATTTTAGAATTTTAATTTTATAATTATAGTTTAAAATAGATTTTTGAATTTTATAATTATAGTTGAATATAGATTTTCATACCATTTTAAAGTTTTCAAAAGCAGAACTATATCTTCCGACAAATTTTAAAGGTGCGTCTTACTTGTATAATATAAGATGGGCACCTTATATAACATCACCCTTTTAAAATTCATCTTTTAAGCGGGCATATTTAGCATGTAATAGCCTTTTATGAAAATTTTAATTGAGTCTTCTATTTTTGTTTTTTTCTTCTTCATGACATACTTTTTCTTAAATCAATATATTGATAAAGCATAAACTAGGTAAATCAAAATGATTTTGTAGTAATTAAAATTTCGGATTGAGAGTTTAGATGGAGAAAAAAAGAGCCTAAGAGCTCAAGAAATTTGGAGGGGAGATAAGAAATGGTGAGAATTTTAAAAGTTATACTCCTGTTTATTATCTTATGAATATATCAAGATCAATTTGAATGGTCCAACATGCAATTAATTAGCAGAGTTACCCATTAATAAGTGAAAAATATTACATTGAGGGAAAGGGGATGGGGTTGTGGTGGTAGCACCCCACACTCTATTCACCACATTGTGATTTTCATTCCCACCATTAACACCATTCTAATAATACTTTAAAAAAACTAATCCTTAATCTACTTGAAAAAACAGATAGAGACATATCTTCTCTACTTAATTACCCAAAAAAAGAAAGAAAAGGAAAATATTACGTCGAATGACAAGAGAGCATTTTGGTGATGTTTTCCTTCAAATAGAATTTCTTGTCGCTCATATTATATGAGCCACCAAGATAGATCTTTTTTTTTTGGGAAATTTGTCAAAATACATCTAAGATATTAACTATTCAATATATTTTTTTGATTTAATTTTAAAATACCCATCACATGATTTTTAGTTGGAGTAGACCACAACAACGATGATGGGAAAATATGAGCCTCAAGCAATGTTGTCATATTCGCTTAAGAGTCTTTCTTTTTCGATTTGGTGAGAAAAATGAAGTAGTTCAGTGCTTCGCCAGATTCGAGAGAAGACTTCAGACCTTTTTTTTTTAATTTAATATAATAAATTAGATATTTAAATATAAAAAATGTATAAAAATAATGAAAAATACAAATTTCAAAAAAAAAAAAAAAAAAAAAAAAAAAAAAAAAAAAACTTTAAATATAGATATTTCTTTGCTTAGGCCAAAAATGCCGAAGCTTCGACTGAATCGGCTCGAATCTGACTAAAGCAGCCCAAAGTGGCCTGAATTTTGACTGAAGCGACAGCATCAGGCTTCGTTTCGCTTCGGTCTAAGCCTAAAATCCGAAGGCTTTGGTTTTTTTGGCCGAAGCAAAGCGAATTTGACAACACTGGTCTCAAGTTTATCATCTAGACAACGACGATGAATATGAAAGGAGACACTCATCAAATTTGATCATGAAAATGATATTTTTTTGATGTACTTATTTTTTAGACCATTTATTATAATTCTTCAAAGACCATCATATTTGTGCTATTTTTTGAGATTTCAATTCATGGATACGAGGTGGTAATGGACTTTCAATGATTTAGGATGTGTTTCTAGTCCTAAATCATTCGAAAACCATGGCAAACACAAGTCGACTGACACACCCAATACTTTTATGAAAGACGGGATGACATCTTTTTCCGACATGGCCATTCTCTAATGTAACTATAGTATTTATTTAATTTAAGTACTCCAACAAACAAATCTAAATTAACAAGAAGAAAACTAGTTACAATATTGGTGTGATTGCACATTCAACAAAGAACATTCAACCATCCACCGTTTCTTTATTTTCTTAGTTGATTCTTCTACAATTCAATCTCACTTCTCCCTCATCATCCTCCTTCACATCAAGCTGCCCCATCCTAACCATAGCCTGTGAGAAATCAAAGAAGAACATGGCCTGGTTCATGGCATAGTTGTTCACAATTCCTCTGGTCTTAGGAGAAACAAAGAGGGCTTGATCAGAGAAGAGGAGGCCAGCCCCTCTCTGCAAGGTCACGAAATATGCATTGTCGAACATGTTTCTCGTTGGGTCAAATGGTGCCTCGGTGTTGTCTCCCTTTGCACACGTGCTCGAGAGTGTCTTAGCGAAGTCCGGGCTCATGGTTGGATCTGCACTGTGAGTTGAGTCGCTTAGGCGACCCTTGAAAGAGGAGCACCGGGCAACACCGAGGGTGTGGCCACCTACATTGTCATTGAAAGAGACACGAGGCCAATTTATATTCAATCTATACTTTCATGCTTTTTTCAATTTTGGATTGTATACAATGAGACTGTTACCGATCATACATAGAGGTCACAAACACCCTTAGCTACCAAATGTAAAATTTGATGGCTAGAGTGTGTGGTTTCCTTAAGTGCAAGGAAAACTTTCTCACACATGGGGGTTAGACGTTGTTCCAACCCCATCTACCAGATTTCATATGTGACGGCTGCGGATGATTAAGATTATGTTGTACAAAAGATTAGGTTTTGGATGATTATGAATTTTTTGCATTTTTTCTATCAAAGGTAAATAGTTTTGTTGTACACTTTCAAAAAAAATATACAATAATACCATTTATTTTTTATACGAGAATGTCATAATTGCCCTAAGTATTGATACGAGAATGTCATAATTGCCCTTAGTGTTGATACGAGAATGTCATAATTGCCCTTAGTAGTTAGATGCGAAATCAAACAGTAGGGTGTGCCATCGAGATCATCATCATCTTTTTCTCAATTTGGGGTGTACTAATTGACCATATGGCTAATTTATTTTTTTTCAAAATTCAGTGACAAATTCCTAGCTACTAGTTAGATAACCCACAACTAGGCATAGTTGTGATCTTGTACTATAGATAATATACAAACCCTTTAATTATATAATTCACCATTTTCTTATTTTTCTTAGCTTCTTATTGGCTTGTGAAATATACATAGAAAGGAAATGCCCCATTTGCACTAGCTCTTGTCTTATCCTTTCCTCTATGTGCATTTCCCCACTTTTCTATTTTTTATCATTTATTTTTTATTTATAACATGTGTTGTTACTGTACTTGCGCTACATGTTCACAAGCATTTTCACAGTGAATATATTATACGGACATATAATATAAAATGAAGAATAATTTACGTACGGATATAAAAAAATAGGAAAAAGTTCAAAATGGGTCAATTTTGGACAAAAATTTTGTAGAAGGTCGTCAACCCATAATTTTTTTTATTTTTTCTAAGGTTTCCCCTCAGTTTGAGGATGTCATCTTTGGACCATTTTTAAATCATATATATTTTTTAGCTTTATCGCTAGCAGGGCAATGCCCTAGTGTGAGGGGCAGTGCCCTAGTATGAGGGGCAATGCCCAATCCAGAAGGCAGTACGAGGTGGCATCCTCGTATCATCTTATCTCTTGGCAAATAAATGAGTTAATTCCATCCGAGGATGCAAACCTCATACTGCCTTGAAAAGCACCAGAGAAGGTGGTCCGAGAATGGGCAGGCAACACGGACCGCTTTTGAATGCTTAACAAAGTCAGTCTTTGCGGTTAGAGGATGCCAATCTCAGACCGCTTTGAAAAGCACCAAAGAAGGTGGTCCGATGATGTTAACATGGAATCAATTGGGCATTGCTTCAAACATTAAAGCACAACCCTACTACTGAAAAAACTCAAAAAAGAAAAAGTATAGCATATCCTTGGATTGAGAGGCAATTTTGAAAAAAATAAAAAACCTCCAGTCGATTGACCTTCCGCATAGTTTTAATCCAAAATTGACTCATTTTGTACTTCAGTATCTTTTTGTGTCTGTACGTAATGCACTCTGCCGTGATCTCGAGGTGTTACTATGTTTAAGAAACAAAAATTTGAAGAGAAAGAGAGAGACCTGCCAAGGCTACCATTTCTTGAGCACTGAAACCATGTTGAGAGAAGGTTTTGATAAGCTGGGAGGCGTTGAGGATGGGAGGTGGAAGATTGATTGTGTCCTCAATCTTTGATCTCCTTCCATCCTTTCGTCCCTTTGGGACATCATACAAGGGACCTCCTGACTGCACAAACCAAACTTATAATTACTACGAAATAGAGAGAGAGAGAGAGAGAGAGTCTTAAAGTTGATTGCTCACCAAAAGAACTGCGTCTCTAGCAGCCATGGCGAGAATATCTGCACAAGAGACGAGTCCTGGACATTGTTTCTCAACTTCTTGCTTGGCTTCATCAACCACCTCATAACCTCTCAAGCTTAGATTTGCAGGAGAGTCCTTTTCTGCCGTGTTATCCTTTGTTGAATCAATTAGAACTGATCCATCGCACCCCTAAAAATGAAACCTTTCAATACATATGTGATCATGAGAGAGACAGAGGTTCTTATGGTTAGGATGCTCTGATGTCTTTGATATAATAATAGCCTACAGACTACTACCACGGGAGCATACTACACAGTTACTCTCTCGGGAAACCTTATTTGGGTCGATCCTAAGGGACTTGTCGGACTGGGACTCGTACTCTGCAAGCCAGCTTGCCGAGTGCCTCACCCAAAAATAAATAAAAATTTGTGATCCGGATGATATTGGGTCGGGTCGGGTACTTTGCCTTGGGTTTGGAACCTGGCAAAGTCCTAACCCAGTCCTTGCTTTAAAACTGAGGTTACATCTAAATGAAATTTAACAAAGAAAAATATGTTAAAAAAGAAAGAATAAAAAAAAAACTAACCTCAACAAAACAATCATGGAAGTGCATCCTCAAGAGCCCAGCTGCAAGTGTAGGATCCCTTTGCAAAGCTCTATTCACAGTATTCCTAACAATTGGTTCATCGAAAGGACACCTTGCACCATAATAATCCAGACTGAGAGCATTTGATCTAAGTATGGCCCTACTTGCTATTAACACCACTAGCAAAAGCATTTCTAGGAAATTGGACATGACCATGTTTGCTATATGTACAAGAGATTCTAGAGGCTCTAATAGGGGTTGCAAACCTGAATTATGAGATATTAAATATGGAATGTCTTCAGGAATAGAATGTGGAACTCTTAGAGATTAAGATTCTTGGGACCCTTGTGTGTGTGAGAGCGAGAGAGCGCAATGATAAGATATCTGAGTATAAAAGCTTCTATGCAAATTTTGTGTGTGTGTGTGTGTGTGTGAGAGAGAGAGAGAGAGAGAGAGAGAGAGCAAATGAAAAAATGATATCTGGGTATGAATGCTTCTAAGGAAATTAGTGTATGTGTGTGTGTGTGAGAGAGAGAGAAAGCAAATGAAATAGTAGCTGGTTAGGAAAGCATATTAGGAAATTAGTTAAGTGAGAGAGAAATAACTGGGTAATGTTCAAAAAAAAGAGAGAGATAAGTGGGTGGAGAAGCTCCTTAGGAAATTAGTATGACAGAAAGAGCAAATGAAAGTAATAGTAACTGGGGTAGGAAAATTTCTTAGGAGATTAATAGATATATGAGAGAGAGAGAGAGAGAGAGAGAGAGAGAGAGAGAGAGAGAGGAGGAGAGACAACAAACAAAGAAGTATAGTAACTACGTACGTACTAAACTAAACGTACGAAACGTAAAGTAAGTACGAGTAGGTAAGGTAAGGTA